TCCGCACACCCCGTCCATCTTTCTGACACGTCACCACTCGTGCTGGTACTTCCACCGGTCCACCCCCCCTCCCCCTCCTCCTCCTCCTCCCCCTCCCCCTCAGGTATCCTCCACGCCACCCCGTCCCCCTCCTCCTCTACTGCCCTCTCCCACCCTGCAGTACTTTTGCATCACAGACTCGGCCATCCCAACTTCACCGCACTTCACACCACCGTCACCTCTCGCCTTCTTAACAGCCTTCCTCCCACTTTACCTCCCCTCCCATCCTCCCCTGCTCCCCCATGCCCGTCATGCATTCATGGCAAGCTCAAACAGTCACCCCATTACAGTCATCCCACCTTCGTTGCCGCCCCCATCGACCTTGTTCACATGGATCTCTGGGGCCCCTATCCCATCTACTCCCGTCTGGGGCATCGGTACATGCTCGTCCTCGTCGACGACCACACTCGGTACTCCACTGTCTTCTTCTTCACATGAAAAACCAGGTGTTGGCTGTGGTCATCAAGTGGGCTGAGCTGTGCCGCAATCACTTCAAACGCCCCATTGGCCGCCTTCACTCTGATGGTGGGGGTGAGTTCATCAATGATACACTCTCCACTTACTGCAAAACGTACGGCACTCAGCAGACCTCCACCCTCCCCCACTCCCCTCAGCAAAATGGCGTCGTTAAGAGTCGCATTCGTGAGATCACAAAGATTGCTCTTGCTTATGCCTCCACCCCTCCCTCCCTCTGGAGCTATGCCCTCCTTCATGCCACCCTCCTCCTGAATCTTCGCTCCCACCTTCAGCATCCCTCCTCCTCCCCCACAAAACTCTGGTCCAAGGCCAAGCCTGACGCTGCCAGCCTTCGTGTTTGGGGCTGCAAGGCGTTCGTCCTCATTCCACCGGCCGATCGCTCCCGTGCTGCTGGCAAGCTCACCCCTCGTGCCCTGGAGTGCGTCTACCTCGAGCACAATCGCGATTCCCCAAGCTACATGTTCCTCCACCCACCCACCAATCGCCTCATCCGCAGCATTGACGTCGTCTTCGACGAGTCCAATCCCTCCTACTCCACGCCTCCTCCTTACCCTCTCCCTCCTCCCACTCGCCCCCTTACGTGGACCGACACCATCCTCCCACCTCTTCTCCCTCCAGCGCAACTCCTCCCACCTATCACCGCTCTGCTCCCCCCTTCCTCCTCTTGCCGCCGTCTACGACCCTGCCGCACCCGCCTCCCCAAACTACTCAACTGCACCCGCTCCCCCCTCTCCCTCCTCCTCTCGATCTCCCCCTTGGCCGCAACCGCAACGACAGCAGCCGGATCCGCAGCAAGGGCAACAGCAACAACAACAACAACAACAGCAAGGGCAGCAGCAGCAGGGGCAGCAACAGCAGTAGTAGCAGCAACAGCAGCATCAACAGAAGCAGCTGGGGCAGCAGTAGTAGTAACTGGGGCAGCAGCAGCAGCAGCTGGGGCAGCAGCAGCAGCAGCCGGGGCAGCAGCAGCAGCGGGGGCAGCAGCTCCAGCAGCACCAGAAGCAGCAACGCACAACTTCCCTCTCCTCTCCTTTTCTCCTCCCCCAAATGCACACTTGCTCCCTGGACCGTATCCTTGGTACCCCTCCTCCTACCTCTATCCAGCTCCTTGAGGATTCTCATGAGGAGTTCCTCAACATTCAGCAACACACTCCTTTCCTTGCCTCACTCTACATTGACTTCCTCGGCTTTCCCGTCATTGGCGCCACCTCCACCCCCACCATCTTCACTCCCACCACCTTCCAAGAGGCCATCACCTGCCCTGGCGCGGACAAATGGATAGCGGCGATTTTCCTGGAGTGTGAGGCATTCATTCGCAACGACTCCATTCTCGATATCTCCCTCCCAGCCGACGCCAACCTCGTCGAAGGCAAATGGGTCTTTCGGGTGAAGCAGCTGCCGGATGAGGAGCCGGTCTACAAGGCACGCTACTGCGCCAAGGGTTTCACGCAGACTTGGGCCGAGGATTACTGGTTCACCTTCGCCCCCACCGCCAAGTTGCCCACCTTTCGCACCCTCCTCGACATTGGTGCACGCGATAACATTGAGATCTGCTCCATGGACGTCTCCATCGCATTTCTGTAGGGTGACCTCCACGAGTGCATTTTCTTCCGACGGCCCCCTGGGTTCCACGCAGCCTTTCCTGAGAACACTGTGTGGTAGCTGCGTCGCCCTGTCTACGGTTTGAAGCAGGCGTCACGTGAGTGGCATGCGAAGCTAGCCGCCACCTTGGGGTCCCTCGACTTCTCTGCTTCGCACTCTGACGCCAGCCTCTTCATTCGCTCCACCCCTCGCCGCTTCTTCATCCTGGTGTATGTGGACGACATGATCCTGCTCTCTGACTCCAAGGCTGGCATGGAGCAGATAAAGCTCTCGTTGCAGCAGCGTCTCAAATGCAAGGACCTGGGTGACCTCACGCACTACCCGCGTAACCACCCTGCTTGCACCATCACCCTCTCCCAGTCCCACTATATCCGCCAGGTCTTGGAGAAGTTCGAGATGGTGTAGGCCAAGCCCGTGTCCACCCCCCTCCCTTTTGGCCACCAGCTCACTCCACCAACTTCTCCCTCCTCCTCCCCTCACCCCTATGCCGAGCTCGTTGGGTCGCTGATGTACGCGATGATGTGCAACCGCCCCGACCTCGCCTACCCCATCAGCGTGCTGGCACGCTTCGTTGGCACCGGTCATCACACTGAGGAACACTGGAAAGCTACTAAGCGGTCCTCCGCTACCTTCGTGGGACCAAGGACCATGTCCTCACCCTTGGCGGCCCCTCCCCTACTCTCCTCTCAGGCTTCAGTGATTCCTCATGGGTTGACTCGCAGCCGGACCGACGCTCCTCTCAGAGCTATGGTTTCACCCTTGGCAGCGACCTTATCAGCTAGCACTCCACCCGCTCCTCTGCCATTTCTCTCTTCACCTGCGAGGCCAAGCTCTACGCTGACACCATGGCCGCCCAAGAGTCACGCTGGCTTTGCTTTCTTCTTGCAGAACTTGGCGCCCCACAGCCCTGCCCCACTCTTTGGTGTGACAACGCCAACAATATCCACCTCACTCAAGATCCCGTTTATCACGCTAGCTCCAAGCACATCGAGCTTCGCTACGTCTTCATCCGCGAGCTCGTCCAGAAGGGCACCATTGCTGTTCGGAAGATTGCGGCAGAAGCCAACTTAGCTGACATCTTCACCAAGGCCCTCCTTCGCCCTGCGCACTCTACTCTCCTCCATCTCATTGGCCTTGCTCGCCCGGGCGCTCCTTGATTCAGGGGTTGTTCTCTTCCTGTGTTAGCATGCCAAGGGGTTGTATTAGAATTATATGTTCTAGCATGCGAACACTTCTGACTGTACATCAATTGTGGTGTATAGTTAGGTTGGGACCACACCCAACTTTGGGTGTAGTCTTGCATTGTGGGGTGCCAATCCAACCTAATAGCGGTGGAGCCCCCAAAGACAACCCACTTGGCCGTAGGTTGCCTCACTTCCCAAAAGTGAGGCTAACCCAACCCAAGTGGGCCTTGGGTTACCTCACTTACCATAAAGTGTGGTCAACCCAACCCACTTGGCCATTAGGTCACCTCACTTCCCAAAGTGAGGCCAACCCAACCTATGGTCAACCTAACCTTTGCCCTTCAAGCTTCTCATCCAACCTATATATGCTTGTATCTCCTCTAATCAAATCATTAGTTCAACTTTAAGCTTTCACATTTGGAACTCGGGTTGGGGGTCATGCACATGGTGGACCAAAGCGCAAACCTCTCCAGCCCCACGACACATGTATACTAAGCAACAAAATAGCCTAGCAACCACAGCCCACAACGCACCGCGAACACAAATCGTCATATCTGAACGTGCATAGATTCCCCAGCAAACACAACCGCCGTATCCGGGCGCGCATTTTCCCGCGAGTGCGAACAAAAGCTCATGCTTAGAACAAAAGTAAGGAGGGACTACCTCGCACTCAAATCGCCACGGCGAATTCCGTCTCTTAGCACTCCCAGCTTTCACACCCTCACGTCGTTGCGATCGCCGCTGCACGTCTCACGGCAGCGGCCGCTTGCACATCGCTACGACCAAGCGCGAAGAGCGTCAGGGTTTCAGTACTCAAATCGCGACCATCCAGGGACAGTAAAAGAAAGAAAGAAAGAAAGAAAGAAAGAAAGAAAGAAAGAAAGAAAGAAAGAAAGAAAGAAAGAAAGAGAGAAAAAAACACACATACACACACACACACACACACACACACAAACATGGAAGAAGTAGGTAGTAGCGACGAGGCGTGCGATGTAACGGGAAGTGGGCCGCCATAACGCGCAAAGTGCGGACGGGCTTGTCACCTAATTACGTGCGAGGCGTACGAGGGAGGGAGAAGCGATCTCGCGCAAGGTGTGGGCGGGGGCTTGCAGCAAATTCGCGCGAAGGGCGGACGGGAGCAAGTAGCAATTTCGCGCTAGAGGTGGACGTGAGAGCAGCGACGGGGAGGGGTGGAAACGATGGAATTGAGCAGCAACAATGCAAAGGTGCGAGGGGGATGGAAGGAACCACGATACAACACAATGGGATAGGCAGTCTCTGGTGTGCACGGCGGAAGCTTCAGGGTGCTATTGGAGGATTGTAAGGTTGTTTTAGCCATTGTCATTCAACAATCCTTTCTCACATATGGCGCTAGCAATGCCTTAACCACACTGAAGTTGAGAAATGCATGCAACACTTACAATGGAGGGGGAATTACTCTAGCTATCATTGACGATGTAGCTACTTATGTATGTGGCTATTTTGTGTGTGTGTGTGTGGATGTATGTGTGTGTGGGAGGGGCGCGTATATGCGTGTGGGTATATGTGTGTATATATTTATATGTGCGTATATAAATGTATATATGTGTGTGCATGTATCTCTGTGTGTGTATGTGTGTGTGAGTGAGTGTGTGTTTGTGTGTACCTGTGTTTCCTCTTCCTTCTCATCCTTCTCCTCCTCCTCTCCTTCTCCTCTACCTACTCCTCCTCCTCCTCCTCCTCCTCCTCCTCCTCCTCCTCCTCCTCCTCCTCCTCCTCCTCCTCCTTCTCCTCCTCCTCCTCCTTCTCCTCCTCCTCCTCCTCCTCCTCCTCCTCCTCCTCCTCCTCCTCCTCCTCCTCCTCCTCCTCCTCCTCCTGCTTCTTCTCTCGCTTCTCTCGCTTCTTCTCCTGCTTCTTCTCCTGCTCCTTCTCCTGCTTCTTCTCCTGCTTATTCTCCTGCTTCTCTTCTGCTTCTTCACTTTCTTCTTCTCCTTCTGAAATTTCAGCAAGTTACGAGGCATCTCATGTGTTGAAAGAGAAGGGACAACTGTAGACGAATGCAAGGGTGTATAAAGTTGAGGCATTGCAATAGCTGAGGACTGTGTGTATTTGAAGTTAACTACAGATCGATTGGTTTAGACATCGGTCTCCAGTCACGCAAGCCATGATTTTTCTCTAGGTTTAGCAGTTTGTCCAATGCAGCCAAAACCACTCGTGTGCGTTTAGTTTAGCGCACGTTTCAGTCCGTTGGTACGGAGCTGCGCTGTTTGACTATAACGAGTATTGATTGTACTGTTAACACTCCGTGATTCCCTCTCCAGCGACTGCCGTTCTTGTTGCACTTTCGGCAGGTGAAAGCGATAACATGACGTGGCAGTGAGAGCGTTTCGATAAGATCACCTTGTCCGCTGACTGAAAACGGGCCAGGCCGAACATGTCGCGTGCCAAAATATCTGTTATCTCTGGTGGCCGGAACACAACTAGCACCCCCCAGCGTAGACATCCCCCAACCGTTCAAAACCGATTGGAAAACAGCCCAGATGTTTTTTGGCACGTCCCCCCCCTTGTGGGACCTCTTCAACTTGTCTTCCCCCCCAAACCAACCATACCGTGGTTGGACCAAACCCAACATCCACCTGTCCCCGCCTCTCTTCATCTATTCCCAACCATTTGCACCCATAGTTTCTCTAATTGCATCCTCACCTCGTCTTTCCCCCTTCATAAACCTGCTTTGAGCAAGTTTCTAGCTCTTTCCACGCGTCTCCTCTCTCTTGTGAGAGGCACGACGATCTCACCAACGCAACGCTCCACACGCGGGGTTGTGGGTTTGTGATACCCCTGCAACCTTAGCATCCGCGTGTGACAACGTCTGCTCGTCATCCTGACGTCGTCCTCCCACGCCGCATTTCTTCTGTTTAGTTTTTATATACCATCGCCCTTGTTGGGGTGATTTTTTTTTTTTTTTTTCCCAAATCTCCTTCGAAGAAGACGATTTTGAACTTTTGCGCTGATGGCCAGCCGCAGACCCGCAGATACGGTGACGTCAACCGATCGTCATTGGTCCACGTCACCGGCTGCATCAGCGTCAAGTTCGCAGCCTATACCCGCCACAGCTACTGCTAATACCGAGATTCGCGTTCCCCTGTACGCGGCGACGACGCACACCAGCGGTCTGCTCGGCCTGCACCTGCCGGCCGACCAATGGCGGCCCGCCCCCACTCACGCCGAGCCGCTGCCGGCCAGACGCCGCAAGGAGAGGCTGTTTCGCGCAGGCGAGCTCGCCGAAAGTGCGACGCCGCGAGTGGATTTCGCGAAACGGCCATTGTCGCAACCCGATCAGCAGCCGCAGCAGCAGCATCCGTGCCAACCACGGCAAACTGAAGCGCAAGCTTCAGCGAAGTTTCTCGAGCCAGAGGGTAAACTGGCCGGAACGCAGCAACATTACCGGGCTTCCTACCGACATGGCACCGACATGACCGTCGCAGAGCTTTCGCAGGCGATCGCGACTGCGCCTGCGACAGCTTCGGCGATATTGACGGCGACGGCGCCCGCGACAACCCGGCGTCCTGCGCGGCGACGACGTGGAGTTCGACATCGACTACCACCTGCACGAGCTGCCGTCGCGCGCGCGGCATGCGACGAGTGCGACGGGCTCGCGACACGCTGCGACAGGAGTGGCGACTGCGGGCGAGTGGCGGGAGGCGGCGGAGTTGAAGCTCGCGCTCGGCGCGCTGATGGGGCGCGTCGCGGCGGAACTGGCAAAAGCGGGGGTGGCGGTCGGAATGGTGACGAGTCAGGTGAAGGCGGAGCGGAGGGCGGAGCGCAAAGTGCGGCTGAGTCCGGCGGTTAGTCGGCTGGTCAGCGGCGCCGTCGCCGGTGGCGTGTCGCGAACAGGTGGGTGCTGATGACAGGGGCGGAAGTGGCAGGGGTTTGGGGAGAAGGCGCAAGGGGGGAAATGGCGCATGGGGAGTTGGCGCATGTTGCGGTGCTCCGGGATCGCATCAGTCTCGTCCTGCCCGTCGCAGCTGCGCCATTGCGCCGCCCTCTTGTTGCTTTCGCTCTCCGAATTCCCCGTGCCCCTCTCCCTTCATATACCGTTTCGCCCCACTCACTCCCCCCCACTCACTCCCCCCCACTCACTCCCCCCCACTCACTCCCCCCCACTCACTCCCCCCCACTCACTCCCCCCCACTCACTCCCCCCCACTCACTCCCCCCCACTCACTCCCCCCCACTCACTCCCCCCCACTCACTCCCCCCCACTCACTCCCCCCCACCACACCTTGCCTTGCGAATCCTTTCTTGACGTCCTTCATCTCCATTCCGCCTGTTTCCCTTCCCCCACTTCTGTCTTCCCCCCTCTCCCACCTCTCCTTCGCCCCCGCTCCCCGCGCCCCCCCTCCCCCTTCCCCCCCGCGCTCTCCCTCCGCGGTCGCCGTCCGCCAGCGACGGCACCGCTGGAGGCGATTCGGACGCACATGACGTGCGGGCGGGGCGGGCTGTTTCCCTTCCCCCACACTCGTCTTTCCCTCTCTCCCCCCACCTCCCCACCCCCCCCCCCCCCCCCCCCCCCCCCCCCCCCCCTGCCTCCTTCCCCCACTCTCTCTGTCAGCGACGGCGCCGCTGGAGACGATTCGGACGCACATGATGTGCGGGCGGGGCGGGCTGGCGGCCAATGGGAGCATGACAGCTGTCTTTCAGTGGGTGCTGCGCACGGAGGGGTGGACGGGGCTGTTCCGCGGCAACGCCATCAACGTGCTCCGCGTCGCGCCTAGCAAGGCCATCGAGGTGCGGGGGAGGGTGGCCGATTGGAGGGAATGCGGGTTGGGGGAAAGGCGGGTCGATTGGAAAAGGCGGGTTGTGGGAAGGCGGAGTGGGGAGAGCCGCAGGGAATGCTGCGAACCAATCCGTTCCGCGGCATCTTCATTGGGGTGCGGGGAGGAGGGGAAGGGAGAGAGGGGTAGCCGAGGAGGGGGGAGAGGGGTCGGAGAGGAGGGGGGATGAGAAGAGACGACGGGGTGATTTAGCAGCAATTCTAGCGATTTCTTTGGAGCGTGTGTGAAAGCCGGGGTGGTGGGACGGGAGAGGGAAGAGGGGAGGAGGGTAATAGAGAAGAAAAGATCCCAAAAGCCTCCAGCAACGCGTCGTGTAACTTCACTCATCGCGAGTTTCCGCGCATCCCTCTCCCTTGGTGTTATTCCCCCCGGAAACCACCTGCATCGCACTGACGCTCCCACGTTCGGGCAGCCGAACCCCCTGCAGAGCAGAGCGCCCTCGTGGCCCATGCAAACACCCGCTCTCCCTTACCCTTCCATCCCCCTTTCCCCCCCTTCCCCTCCCTTAATTCCCTTCCCCCCCCCCCCCCCCCCCCCCCCCCACTTCCGCCTTCTTCCCTCGCTAACTCTGCAGCAGCCCACTCCACACCCTCCCAATTGCTTCGTCTCATTCCCTCCTGAATTCATCTCCCTCCCGCTACTCCCCCCCAACCCTGCCTCATTCTTATGTCCCTTCTGATGCGCTTTCTGATTCCCCCCTTCATCTTCCTCCCCCCTCTCTTCCCCCCGTCCACTCCCGCCAGATGCTCACATACAACAAGGTCAAGCGCCTGCCCAACCCGCGAGACGGCCGCCCCTCCATCATCCCGCGCCACATCCCCCTCCCCCCCGTCTCCTCCATCGCCGGTTCGCCCACCGGCATTGCCTTGTGCGTCCTCACCTACCCACTCGAGCTCCGCTCCTTCCCTCCCTCCTTTTCCACCCTCTTCTAATGTATGTGTGTTTCCCCATGCTGCCCTCCTTGGCCCCTCCCCCCCCCCCTCGTCTTGCTCCTCCCCTGCACAGATGCTCACATACGATACAGTCAAACGCTTCCTCACGCCCAAAGAAGGCCGCCCGTCCATCATCCCGCGCCAGCTCCCCATCCCGATCTCCTCCATCGCTGGCTCATCCGCCGGCATCGCCTCGTGTCTCCTCACCTACCCGCTCGAGCTCGTGAAGACGCGCCTCACAGTCAACCCCGACATGTACCGCGGCGTGCTGCATGCGTTCCACAAGATCATCAGAGAGCAAGGGGTGGGGGAGCTGTACCGCGGCGTGGCGCCCAGCGTGGTGGGCATGATTCCCTACGCCGGCGCGAATTTTTATGCGTATGATACGCTGTGCACGGCGTATAGACGGGCGAGGGGGAGGGAGGAGATTGAGCCGCTGATGACGCTCGTGATTGGGTCCACAGCTGGGTGCTTTGCAGCTGCTTCAACATTTCCCTTGGAAGTCGCGCGGAAACATGTGAGCACGGGGACTTGGTGTGGGGGTGTCTAGATTCTGGGCGTTGAGCTTTCATGCTGGCTGCTGGTGTAGCTGCAGCCTTTATGGTCCCGGTTGTGCCTGGCATGTCTGAGGCGTCAGCGCCAGCGTGATAAACTTTGTTTTGAGTCGTCTCAAAAGCAATCCATTTATCACGTGACGTGCCATACATGCCTGATGTTTCAGTTCCAAGCTTCCACACCCCCCTTGTCTGTCTCACACGCCATCTACTCTTGTCTCACACGCCATCTACTCTTGTCTCACACGCCATCTACTCTTGTCTCACACGCCATCTACTCTTGTCTCACACGCCATCTACTCTTGTCTCACACGCCATCTACTCTTGTCTCACACGCCATCTACTCTTGTCTCACACGCCATCTACTCTTCTCTCACACGCCATCTACTCTTGTCTCACACGCCATCTACTCTTGTCTCACACGCCATCTGCTCTTGTCTCACCCTCATCTCGAGCGTCAGAGTGATCAGCAACCTTTCCCCTCGCCCCAACCCTCTCCCTCCCGACCTGCCCCTCTCGGCTCATCCATCATCAACCCTGCTCTTTCCTACTTTCATGCCACATCCCCCTCCCCCCCTACACCTGCACTTGCCACCCTCCCTGTTCCTCCTCTCCCAAATATTCAGAGTGTTCTTCTCTTGTCCGTCTGTCCATCCGCTCCCTCTTTCCACTGCTGCAGCTTCAGATGGGGGCGACGGGCGGCAGGGTGGCATACACAGGCATGCTGCAGTGCATGAGGAGCATAGTGAGGGAGCAGGGCATCAAGGGGCTGTACCGGGGGGTGGTGCCGTCGTGTGCCAAGATGATGCCGGCTGCTGGCATCTCCTTCATGTGCTACGAGGTGCTCAAGCGCGTGCTTATAGAGGATGAAAAGGTTCGATAGTTTATTTTGTGACTAGAAAGCACTGGCTTGCTGGCTTTGTTGCGTGCTACCGAATATGATGCTGGAGGATGTGCGAGGATGGAGTCGATGAAGGCTTGTGAATACTGAAGGGAGTTAATTCAAACATGGAATAGTTGTGAGAAACGTTGGTACAGTATTGGATTGTGATTTAATTGTTAACCATGTGTGTCTCAACACCTGTATCAAGGGGATTTGTGTCCTGTTAAACTGGTAAAACCCTTGGTTTGTTGCCAGGGACTGAGAGAACACATTAGCTGATCAAATAGTTGTACTTAGCGTTTGTATTCTGACTACACTTGAGCGTGATTCCCCAAAGGTACTCCGTTAGCGGTGTGGCCTCTTGTTGAAAATTCAGCAAGGATGTTGATTCTTGCGCCGCTCCACCGCCGCTGGTTCGTTCCCCCCTTGCGCATCCCACCCGCCGCAACAAAAGCGGAAGGTCCACAAACAAGCCACACCTTCAGTCAAGTGGAGTGTGATTGGTTGCATTGCACTTCCCTCAGTCGTGGCTGGTGGAGGGAGATCAGGAGGAGGTGTTTAGAGAGTTTCTTGGCTCATCAAGGGCGTTTCTTGCTAGTTTTGGACACGAGTTTAGAAGAAGCCTTCCCACCCCTCATCTACGGTGCTTTCACTTCTCCGAATCACACTACCGCCTGTCACCCACTCCCCTGCAGCAACTGTTCTGCCACCGATTCTTAGTGCTGCTAACTTTGCACGAAACAGGGTGTTTTGGTAGAGGCAGTTCAAAATTTGTGGTTTTGTTTCTTGCTTCGAAAAGATGGGTTTCCCCGTCCTTTATACCTCCTGCCCTGCCACATAGGCAACCTGAAGAATCTGGTGGCTGCATTTAGGAGATTCGCCGAATTTGGACGAATCGTTGAGGGAGGTGGACTCTAATAGGCAAGATTTCATTCGACCGTCCAATCCCATTCCATCCCTTTTTTGAACGAATGCGTGCCTTTTCGGATTAGGGGCAGTCTTTTGGGTTTTTAGTTAATCCCGCACTGTTACTGAAAATATACGAAAAAAGCGCAGCATTGTCGCTTCTGGCGCACTGTTAGTGCCCAGTTTTCGATCACAGCGCATAGTTAGTGAGATTTCTACGCAGTAAAGATTTCATTGGTCAAAATGTTGACGGACCGACAACTCCGGTTGGATTGACGGCCATCGAACTGTTTGCACCTGAATTTTGGGCAGACGAAAATATATTACCCTCTCGGATGGCATGCTGTTCAGGGAGCATCAACCCTAAACACCGGGCGGGGTGTTTAGGGAGCATCAACCCTAAACACCGGGCGGAAGTGTTTAGGGAGCATCAACCCTAAACATTGGCCGAAAGTGTTCAGGGCTGATTCCCTTTGTCACGATTTTTTTTTATATATATAAATATATATTTTAATGGCTGCCGTCGAGGGAGCATCAACCCTAAACTCCACGCGACTGGATGTTTAGGATTGATGCACTCTCTATATGGGCGTGAAAATTTTGAAACACCTGACTGAGTTAAATAAATTTTCTGTTACATTGCAGGCTTGTCGTTTTCGGATATTTAGACGAATGAGCGTCGAGCTGCGTAGAAATCGCACAAACTCTGCGCTGTAAACGAAAAACGGGCAGTAACCCTGCCCCAGAAGCGATGAAACTGCGCATTTGGCGTGCAGTTTCGAAAACCGTGCGTTGTCAACTGAAAACCCCCGTCTTTTTCATGCAAAGGAAGGACACGAGTCACACGACAAACACAGAAAACCACAGGATGTGTCTTTCGCGCGCATCGCAAGATTGTTCGCAAAATCTCGTCGTCTCGTTCCTCCGCCGAAAAAAAGGGCGCCTCCATTTTCATCCACAATCCGCCTGGCCCGTGTGGCGAGCAGTTGGGACGGGTCACGCTTTTGTGTTCAGGGTTCATATATCACTATTCCGGCTGGTGAGGAGCGGTTCAAAGCGGCGGGGTAAACTACACCTGTTCTCCGGTATTTCCACACCCCCTATCTTCACGCCCTGGGGTACCTACCCTCGTAAAAATATGACACGAACGCGGGAGTTTCGAAGGTAATAAGACACGACCTCAATGCGAGTTTAACACTCTAACATTATGGCACTGATTACAACTTAGACTTTCGAATGGCCAGAACCTGACGGCTCTTTACTGATAGACCCGTAGTGTCAGGGTGTCCGTCTCATCGATCCTCAAGCCATAAAGGGTGTCTGGCAAAAACGAGGGTAGGGGGTGTGGAAATACCGGAGAACAGGTGTAACCGCTGTGGAGTGCACATCATCTTACTCAACCGCTTTTACTGTAAGTTTTCACACGGAGTATGACCAATCCTGATGAATGCACGGAGTGCTTGCATCTCTTCCCTCAACCTCGGACCTTCCAAATCCTAACCTCCCTTCGTTTTTGCCTTCAAAAACATCCTCCCCATGCCTTGAGGTCTCGTATCTCCACATTTCTTTCTTCGAAACAGTTCACCCACACAGTTTCAGTGACATGTACAGTAACAAGCACAGGTCGCCGGATTACACCACCCGATAGCGAAGTCCGACCGCCATGGCTGCAGCCGCCGCTTTTAGCAATTCTTGCTGCCATGGCGTTTGTGAAGCAGCCACCGTTGGAGCCCCATACCGCCTCATTACGATGCAGCACAGCGCAGTCTCCGCAGTGGACGGCAATGGCGGCATCAAGCACAGCGACAACTCCGTTAGTTTAAGCTTAACGTCGTTAATAACAACCGACGAGACCGACGGACGCGTGTTAAATACGACGACATGTGGTGACGACTCGAGGTCGTCGCACGTTTCGGGTACGACATCTCAAGATATGTTCGAGGCGACTAGCTTAAGCAGCGTCAGCAGCGATGCTTCTCAAGGCGGGGCTTTCAATAACGCGTCTCAACTCGAAGGGACTTTTAGATGTATTCGCGAAGGGGCGGGTCAAGTCCCGCACCACGAGTTACGCGTTGACTCGTTTGACTTGGCTGAGCTACGTGGCGATGAGAATCGTGAGCATTGTGTCTCCCGGTCGCCACGTCGCGAGCTTGGCGGACTAGCTCAACCAGTGCCGTCGGCGCATTGCTTACTCGCCGAAGCGTCACCACGCGAAAACAGCTGTCTCGATCGTCGCGAAACAAGCGCAGCCAGTCCGTCGGACGAAGATTTAGAACCTTCCACGGGGCGCATTCCGTTTAACTCGACTTCAGCCCAGGAACAGCTACCAGAGTGTTTTGCCCCGTTAGAAGCAGACTCGATGTCGTGCATATGGAATCCCGGTGAGACGGGATGGGAGAGCGTGCGACGCGCGCTGGAGGAGAAAGCGGCCGAGCGGCTCAAGGGGGGGCGATCGTTAGAGCACCATGCGAATGGCGCGGCGGAGGTGCTTCAGCGACGAATGAGCAACTGCGGCGCGGCGGAGCTTCTGGAACGGATACAGACGGAAGAGGAGGAGGTGACGGACGAGCAAGACGGCGACGGCTACGACGACGGTGACGGCGGCACGCGCTGCGAGGCGGCAGGCGGAGCTGATTTATTCGCATGGCCTGTTGCCGGGGGTTCCGCGCGATGGTGGTCCGGATGGGCGGGGTCCGCGCGCCTCGATGCGGTTCCGGAATCTTCGCGAGATTCTCCGCGCAGCGCGGAAGCAGCGTCACGAAACGCCTCCATGCCACGAACCGACGCGGCCGCGCCTCTGCGAGACGCCGTCACTCAGAGCAACCTCCCCGCGCCGCGCGACGACTCCTCCCCGCATCGCGAGCCTTCCACTCCGCGCGGCGGCTGCTCTGTCGGTTGCGGAGGCGGCGGCGGCGGCGGCGGCGCGCGCGTTCGTCCGCCGAGGTGGCAGATGGACGCGTCGCAGCTGGTGATTCGCAACTTCGTCGCGCGCGGCTCGTTCGGCACCGTGCATCGCGGGCAGTACAACGGCCGCGACGTTGCCGTGAAGCTTCTCAACTGGGAGGGGGAGAGCGTGCACGGGGGTGCGCGGGCGGCGGCAGCTGCGGGAAAATTTATCGGCGCGCGGAATGGCTGCAGCGGAAACGCTGGTGGCGCGGCGGGGTGTGCTGCGGAGGCGGAAGCGATTGCGGCTGTGCCCGCGGGGAAGTTTGGGTGCGGGGAGAAAGAGGGCGCGGGGAAGGCTGTGGGGAAGCCTGAGGCGGCGGGGAAAATCAATTCCGCGGATTTGAAGTTTTTGCGGGATGTATTTGCGCAAGAGGTGCTCGTTTGGAGCAAGCTTCGACATAAGAACATCTGTGAGTTCGTGGGCGCGATCATCGGCGGACAGGAGTCGTACGATCTGACATCGACGGTTGAGGATCATCAGGGGCAGTTACGCGTGGGGAGCAACTTGTGCTGCTTGGTGTTGGAGTTTCTCCCCGGCGGAACGCTGAAGCAGCTCTTAGCGAAGCAGAGCAAGAAGAAGAAGCGGCTGCCGTTGAAACGCGCGTTGCATCTGGCGTTGCAAGTCGCGGAAGGGTACGTACGGACGTTCTGGCGTGAGGCGTGAGGCGTGCAGTGTGGGGTGTAAGGCGCGGCGCGGTGTTAGAATGTTTGGGCTGCAGAGAGTGTGAAGCGAACGTGCTGGTGGTGCGGGGGGGCATGGGGCCGCACGGTCGGACGGTCGGAGAGGGGGAGTGAGAGAACGCACCGCGCATTGGTGTAGTTCTACCCCTTATCGTCGCCATCTCTCTTTTGTTTAAATATGCATCGTTCGCTCCTCCCTTCCTCTCCCTCTCTCTCCCTCCCCGCCTTCTGCGCTGCTCCTCTCCCTGCCCCTGCGCCCTCCCCCGTGTCCCCCCAGCCTGCGCTACCTGCATGCGCGCAACATAGTGCACCGCGACCTTAAGACAGACAACTTGCTGCTCGACCAAAAACACAGGTGCGGGCGCAATTTCTCTGCTCCCCCGTGCCCCTCCTCCCACCCGCGTCCCCTCCCGCGCGCCCCCCCTGCTCCCGCCCGCCTCTCGCCCACCTGCCTTGTGCATGCCAAGTTGTTCACCTGTGCACTGCACCATGTCACTCCCGCATCATGTGTCATGTGCGTGTTGCGCAGTATGCATGCATGTGCATGCTGCACCACCTTCGCCATGCAATGTCACCATCATCATGCCACGTCACCGTCACCATGCCACGTCACCATCATCCCACGTCACCATCATCCCACGTCACCATGCGTGTGCAGGGTGGTGAAGATTGCAGACTTTGGTGTGTCGAGGGTGCAGCCAGGGGACCACTCCATGAAGCGACGCACCGGCACCTTTGGATACATGGCGCCCGAGGTATGGTGGTGCATGGCGCCCGAGGTATGGTGGTGACCAGACATGTACAGCTATGGCATCGTGAGATGGTCACACATGTGGTGACCGCTTCCCCTGCGAAGGACTCCAAGGACTCAACTCAACCCCCATCTCTCCGCACCACTCCATTTCCCCTCCACCACAGGTGCTCAAGGAGCAGCCATACGACCACAAGGCGGACGTGTACAGCTACGGCATCGGGAGATGGTCACGAGTGGTAACCCTAACCAGTTCCCCTCCCAATGCCCCTTCTTCCAACGGCAGGTGCTCAAGGAGCAGCCGTACGACCACAAGGCGGATGTGTACAGCTACGGCATAGTGCTGTGGGAGATCGTCACGTGTGGTAACCCGTTTCTCTTTGAAGGGCTCAAGCCGGAGCAAGTCTGCTGCATGGTGAACCAGGTGAGGGGGAGAAAAAGACGAGGGAGGGTAAATGATGGAGGGTGATTTGAGTGAATGGGGGAAGTGGGAAAAAGGGGGTGCGTGGGGGTTGGGTCAGGAAGGACGGGAAAGTGTGGTGGACAGTGGGGGTTGGCGGGAGGAGGGGGATTCAGGTGCAATGCTGTTGGGAAATCAGCCATTTCAGCTGGCTTGTTCTTCAGAATGTACCTCCTTTGCCCTCACATCATTGCGAACCTCACAGCTTTGCGAATCTCACATCCTTCCCTGCACACACACACCAGGGCCTGCGTCCAGACATCCCCTCGTCGTGCCCGCCTGCCCTTGCTGACCTCATGCGGGATTGCTGGCACCACACGCCTGCCCGCCGCCCGAATATGGGCGAGGTGGTGGAGCGGCTCCGCGTCCTCACCCTACAGTGTGCGCCTGCCATTCCCACCTGTGCCTGCATGTAACCTGGTGGATGCAGGCATGTGTGTGAAATCATCAGGTTTTCTTTCTGAAATCAATCACCACTACCATACCTTGTGGTAGACTGGTCATTTTTTTGTTGATTTGTGGTTTGAGCTTCTCTCACGAGTACGCCTTGAAGGTGCAGGTGAGTGTCAGAATGAGAACTACAGCGGAATGTGTTGCATTGACAGAATTGGGGTACATAACCTAACCCTAACTAGTTGTACCGTCATACCCCGGATATAAGCGCCACCCGCGGATAAGCGCCTGGCGCTTTTAATCGGCGCCCGGCGCTTATATCCGGTGCTCGATTATAAGCGCACCCCCCTGAAAAAACTTGTTTTATTATAAGCTCACGTAAACTTTAATTTTTGAATTGTGTTCGAAACACTGTAACGATTCCTACTTTAGCAGGGGAATGTGTTGCAGATTCGCTTCCCTTCACATTCGGACCCTGCACTGGGTGCGGGTCCAGTCAGCAGGAGCAGTCAGGGGCTGTCAGAAGCTGTCAGAAGCTGTCAGGAGCTGTCAGAGTGGGTGTATCTCCAGCGCGCGCGAGAAGTTTCACAGAACTTCGACTCGATTGGAAAAGGCAAGCACGAGATCTACAGCTTGGTGTTAAAAAATATATCAATTATAGATGTCGTTTTATAAACGCCGGCGCTTATAAATTTACCCGATTATAAGCCCACCCCCCCTAAAAAAACATGTTTTATTATTGCCCCCCATGGGGGTATATCCGGGGTATGACGGTACCCCATATAGCCCAACCCACTACAGGCTATAATATTTGACACACCCCCATAGCCTAAGTGGGGAAGGCCAATCAACAACAAGCAACCTACGGTCACAAGACCAGTCAAAAGCAAGAGAAAGAAAACAAAGCTCAGGGTGGATCACAACGTCACCACCTAATCTGAGCACAAGCAAAAGGGCCACAAGGCCAGTCCAAAAGTGTGCTTACATATATATATAAGGTACAAGCAAGCAACAGACAAAGAGCACCCTACAGCAGTCAACTAGACCCAGTCTCAACGAGGCCTAACTGCAGACAAAACCGGCGGTGGTCACAAGGCTGGAGGGCCTTGGTGAAGATGTCGGCAGTGTTGGCCTCGGAGGCCACAAACTCCAGACGAGCCTGCCCGCGTCTCTGCAACTCTCGAAGGAGGAAGTACCTGACGTCGATGTGCTTCACTCTGCTCTCCAGTCGAGGCTCATGACACAGGAGAATCATCGCCTTGTTGTCAGCAAACAAGGTCGGTGCAGAGCTCGGCCGCTCACCAAGGTCAGTGAGCAAGAAGGTCAACCAGCGTAGCTCCTGTGCAGCGAGGGCTCCAGCGTAGATCTCGGCCTCTGCGGTAGAAGTCGCAACAGAGGAGGACCGAGTAGACCTCCACGAAACAGCTCCAGAGCCCAGGCTGAAACAGTAACCCTGTGTAGACCTCTGTGACTCAACGTCGTCGGCGTAGGAGGAGTCGCAGTGACCGGTGAGTACAACTGGCTGTGTCCCTCCAAGTACAAGCCCCATGTCTGATGTCGCGCCGAGGTACTTCGCCACCCTCTTAGCCGCCGCCCAGTGAACAGGACGGTGTCTCCCTGTCGCAACAAAGCGAGAAAGGATGCTAAGAGGGAAGGCGAGGTCCGGGCGAGTGCACGTCATCAGGTACATGAGGCAGCCCACCAACTCTGCGTAGGGACCACTGGGCTCGAACGGCTCGTCAGGAAAAGGCCCAGTGAGTCTGTGGTCTACAGCAAGAGGGGTGGGAGGAGGAGAGGAGTGCTGAAGCCCGAACCGCTGAAGGACCTGCTGCACCATGTGTGACTGAGTCAGAGTGATGGTGCGAGCGGCTCTGTCCCTGGAGATCTGCAGGCCAAGGTAGCGGCGCAGTTCCCCAAAGTCAGTGCAGGTGTGTCTCTTCTGCAGTTCGGACTTCACCTCCGCCAGTGCAACTGTGTCGGCTGTGGCAAAAACCAGGTCGTCAACGTAGACGAGAACAAAGATATGTGTGCGCCCACGACGAACAAACAGCGACGGGTCGGCGGAAGACGGCTCAAACCCAAGGTCGGACAGAGTAGAGCGGAGAGTGTCGTGCCACTCACGGGGTGCCTGGCGGAGACCGTAGACCGGTCGTCTGAGGCTCCACTGGGTCCCAGGCGGGAAAGTGCCAGTGAAGCCCGGAGGACGACGCAGCCAGATCTCCTCGTGTAGGCTGCCCTGCAAGAAGGCAGTGGAGAAGTCGAGAGAGTGTAGCTCGTAGTCTCTCTGCGCTGCTACGTGCAGTAACACCCGAAGAGTGGTCATCTTCGGGGTGGGCGCAAAGGTCTGAAAGAAGTCAACTCCCTCACGCTGACTGAAACCTCTAGCCACGTAACGTGCCTTGAAGACTGGAGGAGATCCCGGCGGCCGCTTCACCTTGAAGATCCACATGCCGTCAACAATGTTCGCCCCTGGGGGGGGAACCTCGTCAACGTAAGTGCCTGTGGACCTGTAGGAGGCCATCTCTGCGTCCATGGCAGCTCTCCACTGAGAGGCCCAAGGCCCTGACACTGCCTCAGCGTAAGTGCGAGGAGTAGGTATGTCAGGAGCGTCGGGGTCTCCCTCAGGAGCGAGCAGCATGGCACAGAGATGAGGTGAAGCGGCTGCCAGGAACTCTAGCTCAAACTGTCTATCCTCTAGGACGGCACAGCCAAGGGCAAACTCACCCCCGGCGGACAGAGGACGGACAGGAGGAGCGGCCACAACACGAGTGGCGTAGTCAAGGCGACGCGTAGCAGTAAAGTCTGTGACAGCGGCAGTGAGGACCGCGACGGAGGAAGGAGAGGCACGAGGGTCTGTAACAAGAGAGGCGAGAACACGAGAGAGAGTGGGGCGGTACGTGCGGTAGTAGTCAGTGACCGGAGTAGACAGGGAGGCAGTGAGGGACGACTCAGGAGGACGAGGAAGAACAGACGGAGGAGAACGAGGAGGACTAGGACGAAACAACACGGTACGAAGGTCACGGACAGGTGACGAGGGACGAGCACGAGGAGGACGAGAGGCCCAAGTGTGGGAGAGAGGAGTGGGAGACGGAGCGGGAGACGGAGGAGACTGAGAACGAGGGAACACAGCCGGAGCTGAGTCCGGAGGAGGAAACGTCGGACCGAACACAGGAGGAGAGGAGGAGGGGAGACCAAGGGCCCGAAGGCCAGTAACAGAGGCCGGAGGCTGCTCCGGCTGCTGCGGCGGCTGCTGCTGCTGCTGCGGCTGCTGCTGCTGCTCCCGCTGCAACTCCAGCCTCTCACGCTCCACCCGCTGCTGAACCTCCAACCTCTCACGCTCCAAACGCTGCTGCTCCTCACGCTCAAGACGAAGACGGGTCTGGTGTCGAGTCAGGTAGGGGTGAGGAGGAGGAGTGGTGTCAGGAGACGAAGAAGAAGAACCGGCTCCACCCTCAACAGCACCCGGCTGAGAACCCCCAGAGCGTGTACCCCCTGCGGCAGCACGACTAGTACCTGTAGGAGGTGGACCCGCACCCCCAGTCGGGGTGCCTCCAGTGGCACCAGCACCAGCCTCAGACTCTCCAGCTCCAGAAACACCACCAGCTCCAGCACCACCAGAACGGGCAGCCGCGGCGGGTGCACGCTCAGCGCCAACGCCAACACCCCCAGAACGGGCGGCTCCTGTAGGTGCACTAACAGCTCCAACGCCAGCACCCCCAGAGCGAGCACCGCCAGAGCCCTCACCCCGAGCACCAACACCCTCAGAGTCCGCAGTGGCCGGTAAAGGAAGCGCTGACGGCTGCTGCGGAGGCTGTGAGGACGACTGTGGGGAAGGAGGAGAGACCTGGGGGGGTACCGAGGGGGGGGGAGTAGCGTGGGACACACCAGACGGAGCAGGACCAGGGGGGGGTACCGGAGGAGCAGGGGCGGGAGGAGGAGGAGGTGGAGCCAGGAAGAGGGGGGGGGGGGGGGGGGGGGGCGGCAAGGGCAAGCTGTTCCTCAGTGCAAGCGGCCTTGAAGCGAGCTTCAAGGGAGCGCAGGTGGGTAGCGAGGTCAGCGACAGTCTCAAAGGAGGCGAGGTCAGGGTAGATAAAGGGGACGAGAAGGCGGCTGAGGGAGGCAGAGGAGGGAGTGGAGTAGCGAGCAACAATAGCAGTGTAAAGGGCTGCAGCAGACTCGACCTGAGTGAAGTGGACGGCCTCAGTCGGCGGGAGAAGGTCGGTCAGGGCGAGGCAGGCAGCAGCGTCACGAGACTCCCACACGTCACGAGCGAGGAACCGGCGCTGGTACTCAGCCTCCTGCTCGGAAGTAGGCGGTGGGGTAGTGGGCAGCGGTGTAGGCTGCGGCGGGGCGGGCAGAGCACCGGACGCATGCGCAAACAGGTGCACGCCATCCTGGCGCTGGCTCCTAAGGTGGCGCTGGGCCTGCGTCAGCCAGGTACTAAAGTCGATCGCGCGCCCCTCAGGGTCGAAACGGAGCACGCGAGACGTCGCCATGAGGGGCGAGAACAAGTGATAGCGGCCGCCAGCCGCGAGAGGAGGAGGAGAGGGAGGTGAGTGCGAGGCGGGTGCGCGCAGGCGGGGCGCGTTCTGGCTGGGCGCGGGGCGGCGGGGCGCGCGCTTGCGGGGCGCGCGCTGGCGGGGAGCGCTGGCTGGCGTGGCGCGCGGGCGCGGCGCGCTGGCGGGCGGCTAGGTAGGGCGCGCGCTGGCGGGCGCGGCGCGCTGGCGTGCGCGCCGGCGGGGCCCGCTGGCGCGGGGCGCTGGCGGGCGCGCTAGCGGGCGCGCTGGCGTGCGTGCTGGCGGGCGCGCTGGCGGGCTCGCTGGCGGGCGCGCTGGCGAGCTCGCTGGCGGGCGCGCTGGCAGGCGAGCTGGCGGGCGCGCTGGCAGGCGAGCTGGCGGGCTCGCTGGTGTGCCCGCTGGTGTGCCCGCTGGCGGGCGCGCTGGCGGGCTGGCGTGCAAGCGGGCTGGCGCGCAGGCTGGCCGGCGCGCTGGCGCACTGGTTGGCTGGCGGGCTAGCGCGCTGG